CTTTATGCCTAAATAATACCTTTTAGGTTGTATTGAAGGGATTGTTGTGGAAATTCGGAGATTAAATATAATCATATACGATAATCGATTCATCGTTATTCCTCTTGTCTCATATAATGTTTTCTCTCCAGGCGATTTCCAGCGACTGGCCGGGCGCTCGCAATACCCTCGCCGTCGTGTCGGTAAGAACGAGAGTTGACGGTAAATTCGCGGCGGTCGATATTATCGAGTTATCAAGTACGCTATAAGTCCGTCTGGGCGCTGCCGATCAAGTCGAATCGAATCGTGCCGAGTCGAGTCGGGCCGAGCCGAGCAAAGCCGAGGCGACCGGCCTTGCAAGGCTGCCGGTCATTGAACCCTTGGCCTACTGTCGTCGCGTGCGCCACGTAACACGTGAGTGTACACGTGAGTGGGGATAGGTGTCGAACGCTGGAGGAAGAAAAGGACGAGTAGAAGCGGCGGGGCGCGGTGTGTGCACGATCTGTGACTTCGAGATATCCGCGAGAAGATTGAAAGGGCCACGCGCTAGTAATTTGATGGAGGTGAGTCTTCTTATTCCTCGAACGGTGTTTTTTTTTTTTTTCAATGTGTATTAGAATATTCGATCAGGAGGCGATGAAATTTATGAATTAAAAATCCTAGAGTTCTTAACAAAGCAGCAAATGACCGAGTAAGCATTAATTAAAAGAAACGAGTTTCTTCTATATATTACGGTCCATGTAATATAAAATTAAGAGAAAAAGAAATACGTTGTTAAATGAAATTAAAATTTGTGACATTTCCCGATTATTGTGGATCTGAAATATAAACTGTATTATTTTCCGTGTATATCTCAACATTTGATAAAAAAGTAAGATTTATTGTTAATTATATGAGACGTATTATTTCTTTGTGTATTGGAAGAATAGAAAAATTTACATTTTTTATGAATTTTTTTTTTTTTTTGGAAAGTTATGTTAGCTGCAAATTTAGAATAAATTAATAATAAAAAAACACTATACAAATGAAAAGGCAAAACTATATTGTGATATAATAAAAAATTTTACAAATAAATGTGTCTAAAAAACAATGTTGTTGTTAATACTAATTTTACGTAAATGAAGAGGCCAAGACCACGTCATGGTCGCGTGCGATTTGCGCAATGCGGGGCTTCACTGTCGAACATACTATTGCTGCATAAAGCTTCGGATAAGCTCGTTATATACTAGCGCAAATCTCCCGCGACAGACTGATACGTTAAATTGATATACGTGTCTGTGTTTTTACTTAAAATAAATCTTTTGATATTATAGGGAAGTAAAATTCTCTCTCTCTCTCTCTCTCATTTATTATGTGTGATAATTTAAATATGAGATTGAGACTGATTTCCGAGAAAATTAAAATTGAAGTTTGAACTTTGATTATCTAAAATGGCACACATTTCCGCGTGTGTCAATCCAAATTTAAAAAATTTTTAGAACTAATTATATATATATTCTTTTTTTTTTCGTTAAAAAATAGAAGGAGAAACGCGTTTTACGCGAGGTAAATTCGGACAATTTTTATTTTAAATGCATTCTTTTTTTACTAGACTAACTCATAATCAAATTTTCATAATTTATATTATTTGTATACATTTTTTTATTAAAAGCAAAATTCGAATTATTTCGAAATAAGTACGTGCGCGCAAAATTTACGATCAAAAATAATCAAGATTGATGACTATTTTTCCAAGAATACTAATAATATTGACGGTAATTGGAACTCGCAATAATGACAAGAACTTGTCGTGCTTTGCTACTACCTACCAAGTTTAAATCGCATCATTCCCGCAATCAGTTACGTTAACGGAGCTGGTTGATTCAACGTAGCCGAGGCTAACAATAATAATAACGATAATAGTGATACCGTCGGGGAATGCACCGGGGAATTCTCCCGGACACGAACGGTAAAACGACAAGTAGCCTGACCTCCTAACCCCTAGACCCGCGGGACACGAGCGCGCGCGCGCACGCGATCACGTTTTCTCGCGGTTCATCTTTTCCGTTACGCGTAATTTTACGCGGCGTTCGCGCGCGCGTGCGACACGATCAAGACGGCGCTTTTAACGCGTGACAGTGGTTGCGCGAACCTTGTCGTGATTGTCGTATAACCGTTGTCGGGAAAAATTACTTATACCGGATAACCGGTATTCACGCCTCTACCGGTGCAGCGTCTTTTAAACTCGACGTGTCTTGGACGAACGTCGCGCAGACAAGCTTTCATTATAAGTATCATCTTAAAAGCGATCGTGACGTGAACTTTCCTGATCGCAGATCTCGATTAATGACACTTATTTTAATCGAACGGCAGATTTGTCTGCGTTTAATGGTTTCTGATTAATGATTAGGCGAACGGTAATTTTCTTTACACGTTCATCATTTTCGGATAATTGTGTCAGATGGATAATAATTATACACCGTTAAAGTGTTCCTTCTTGATCATTGACATGTTATTATTGTACTCCCTCCAGCATGAGTTAATATTAATTATATTTTTTTAACTTTTTTATCTCTCTGTCTCCTTCTGGATCGTAATATAATATAGAGAAAGAAAAGGTTCAGCTACCGCTAAATGGCATTGATAGAACTATCTCTTGTCACGTAAAATCTACGTGTTTACCGACCATTGACATATTGCTACGTCATATAAAATCAATGTACTACCTATTGACGTATCTTCAATACGTCACGTAAAAACTGCATATTGGCTATTATTGATGTAATGTTATAATATCTCTCGCGTGTGTGTTAGCTATTATATTTTAATATCAACCCTATGTGACTGATCATTATTTATAAACATCCTGTAGACAAGCGGCTAGGCAATCTTTAGACATAAAACGTAGCGGTAAATGCTATAAATTTAACTCTCAAATAACGTTGTCAAAAAGGTGTTAATCATCTTCAAATATCTGACAGTCGGAAATTTTGTTTAGTCATATGCGCATATTTCAGCTACTCAGCTTTTTAAATGTGATTACGTTTTTCATTGTAATGTTTGCGAAAAAGTTTGAGAGAACTATGTATTTTCAAGTATTTTTCCTTCAAAATATTGTATACGTGATCTATAATTAATTTGTAATAGTATACATATATATATGTATGTATACATTTACAATATTTTGAAGGGGGGAAAAAATATATATGTACATATACACACAAAAAAATAGTATGTCATTTATGATATTTATCCATCTTTTGCTAATCATTACCGATGGAAAATGTGGGAAGACATTGGATATAATAATCTAATAATAGTCAAAAATATGAAGTAAATCAATAGTTTGCGCTCAGTCTCAATATAGAACTATTGCATATTTTACATTATGTTGTAATATAATAATATTAATAAGTAATATGATAAGTTGCTTTTATGTCAGAATGAATTTTAGAGAAGGAAAATGAGGAAAAGATCTTTAATTTTTAAGTTTTAAATGTTCACAAGAACTCTCGCATATATTTTAGCAATATTTATGTAGAAACCGTTCAACGTTATTCTTTTCCTCTCGTCTGTTGTGAAAACATGCCGCAATAATTATCGGCTTATTCTTTTACATAAATGTCGTTATGTTTATCCAACGTTATATCGCAATTTATTTTTACATGTACATATTTTAGTGATTAATTTATGCGTGTATGTATGTGTAAAACGTATCTTATAAAGTTAGGGCAAATTTTCATCTTTACAAAAATTATAGAAATGCAATTGTGTCAATTATGACAAGAAAACTATTTTTTCTTCCCGTCCATTTATATTCTATAATTATCTATCCATGAATTTACATACAACTCAAAATGTTATAGCAAAAAAGACTAAACGACACATTGTAGGAGAAAAATTGCGTTTTAATGTCTTCTCGCGTAAATACGTTGAATTTTCCCACCGGGTCTCACCTTTCCTTTGCGTATTCGTGCTCGTCAGGTCGCGAGGGAGCCTTAGTGAACGCGACGAGGATGACGGGAAAGGCGGCGGCACGTGGGGGCTACTCGTGCATCGGCGAAGTAACGGTGTTCGGTAACCGCGTCAGAGCCGGTGCTAGCGGTACTCGCCGGCGTTCCGTTACTCGACCGACAGATCCGCTAAAGCGACTCGAGCTCTCTCTTTCTCGCTTGATGCGCGCGCGCTGCTCCTTTCTCTGTCATTGCCGCCGACGCCGACGCCGTCGCCGTCCCTCGTCACCCGGGCAAGTACCGGCGCATCGCAAGAGCCGCTCTGTCTCGTCGGCGCGATTCGCGTGCTGGTAATGGTCCAGCGTTACGCCAACGCGATTCCGCGATTACGCGAGCGAGATCGTGGACCCAACCGACGCTCCTGTATCGATTTT